TTTTTTTTTTTTTTTTTTTTGGTAAAAACATGTATGAAATTAAATGACATTTTTATGTAGATACTTAGAATTTCATTCTTTCAAAAATCAACGTAATAATTATTTAAATTGTCTTTGAAATTGAACGCATACATACAAGGTATGAATGAATATTTGAGACAAGTCGAGTATTGGCCGTATGAAGCCGCATGCTCGATTATTTTGGCACCATCTCGAGCTCGACGAGACTATTTTGCTTGAGGTTCGGCTCAACTCAACAACATAATATACAAACTTTTGAAATCAGATCGGCTCAAAATTTCCAATTAAAAATATCTAATGAGGGGTATTTCGGGAATGTTACATACGTTCGAGCCATTTGTCAAGCTCTCGCATACAAACAACAAGCTCAAGCTCAACACTGAATTCGAAATGCTCGAACTCGACTCGAGCGCTCACAAGTTGCCCGTGAGATGCTCAACTCGTTTGCAGTCCTAGTAACATATAAGGCTGTCAAACTACAAGCTCAAGTCACTCGACTCGTTTGCAGCCCTGGTAACGTCTAACAATCAGGCATCTTAACTAGCATAAATTGCATAACCCATTATGCATGGCTCATTAAACTAACAGATAGTTGTGTTTAGGTATTTTGTTAGGCAAATATATGTACATCAAATCTCATGTTTTAAAACATTGTATAAACGATAAGTAAATTATCAATATGAATATTTTTTTATTTAAGAAAATATGACCAAGCATCATTTGTGGTTTATGATGAGCAACATGGAGAATGTAGATCATTAGTTAGCAGCATAGTTTTTGAACCCCGACCCTGATTGATCCCGGCTGAACTCTAGTCATCGGATCACCGGTTCAATCGTCGGATTACTGGATCAATTGTTGAACCGAGTAATTAATTTTATATATATTATTTTATCTTTATCTTATAACCATACATAAAACAATAAAAATAACTTATTTATATTTAAATTTTATACCTCAAAGCCTTAATAATATTGTATTTTCTCATAAACATTTAGCACATAAATATATATATATATATATAT